TATGGCAGACTCTTCACTCATCTTCTTTCCTCTGGAATTGTCTTTGCTCTAAAACCCTTTTCTGTTCCTTCCTTCCATATCCCTATTCATGTGTGTTTTAGTCATCTTTTTTGCTGCTGTGACTAAAAGACCCAACTAGAACAATTATAAAGGAGAAAAAGTTTATTTGGGGATCACAGTTTTAGAAGTCTTAGTCCTTAGAAGGATGGCTCCATTCCTCGGGGCTCAAGGTGAGGCAGAACATCATGGCAGAGGAGTGTGGCATTTGTAAGCAGCAGCTCACATAATGATCAGAAAACAGAGAGAGATTCCACTTGCCAGACACAAATATACATGAAAACTACACCCCCAGTGACTACCTCCTCCAGCCACACCCCACCTGCCTCCAGTTACCACTCAGTAAATTCCAGCAGGGATTAATTAAGTAATTAGGTTAAGGCTACAGCCCAATCATTTCTCCTCCAAACCTTCTTGCATTTCTCACGCATGAGCTTTTGGGGGACACCTCACATCCAAACCATAAAAATCTGACTGATTTTATTAGGTCATGCTTTAAATTTTTAGATGTTACCTTTTATTATAAAGAAATATAACTCTGTAATTTTGTTATCTCATTACATTTAAGACAGTTTTTAGTCTGATAACTAATTCCCTGCTTCCACTCCAAATTCCAGATTCTGAATCCCATAAAGGGCCAGGACTACCCATAACAAACACTTATCAAAATACCATAGAAACTCTATAAATAGCTGATGAACTAATGAATTGAGTGAGTAAATGAATGAATGAACTTACTTTGTGAAATTATGCTAGTCCTGTGGGGATGTTAAGTAGAAAAAATATCAACATAGTTCCTGAAAAGGACACTCAGAAGCAAGATATATTTATCAGACATATCAAGCTCTTCCTGGAATATTCTTCCCTTAGTTATCTTCAAGTTTGCTTCCTTTCCTTCCTTTTTTTTGTGGCAAAATCTGTTTAACAAAATTAGCCATTTTAATTGTTTTTAAGCCTACAATTCAGTGTCATTAATCACATTGACAATGCTATACCCGTCACTATATTTTCAAAGCTTCCCATCATTATACACAAATCCTGTATGTAATAAGCAATAGCTCCCCATTCCCCTCTTCTCAGCCCTTGGTTATATCTAATCTACTTTGTGTGTCTGTAAACTTACTTATTCTTGATATCTAGATTAATGTTAGTGGAATCATAAGGTATTTGTTCTTTTATACTTGGCTAACTTTACTTAACATAATGTTTACAAGTTTCATTCACAGTGTAGCTTGTATTAAAACTTTATTCTTTTTATGGCTGAATAATATTGCATTGCATTTATAATTGCATTTTGTTCATTCATTCATCTGTTGATAGACATTTGGGTTGTTTCTCCCATTTGTTTTTTTTAAATATTTATTTTTTAGTTTTAGGTCTACACAATATCTTTATTTTATTTTTATGTGGTGTTGAGGATTGAACCCAGCACCCTGTGCATGCCAGGTGAGCACACTACTGCTTGAGCCACATCCCCAGCCCTCCCATTTGGTTTTTATAAATAATTCTGCTTCAAACACTGGCATACAACTATCCACTTAAGTCTCTGTTTTCATTTATTTTGGATACACACACACACACACACACACACACACACACACAGAGAGACACAACCAAGGAGGGCAATTTCTGAGTCACATACAGTAAGTTTTAATTTTATCAGGATCTGCCAAATTATTTTCCAGAGCTATTGACTCATTTTACATTCTCTGCCAGCAATATATTAGGGTTCCAGTTTCTCTCCATCCTTGCCAATACTTATTTTCTTTCATTTTTTATACCCTTTATAGTTGGTGTGAAATGGTATTCATTGTAGTTTTGGTTTGGTTTTTCCCTAGTCACTAATGATGTTGAAAATATTTTCATTTGCTTATTTGCAATTTGTTTAATTTTCTTTGGAGAAATGTCTATTATAATCACTTAAATGGGGTTCTCTTTTTTGTCATTAAGTTTGTAGTTCTTTATATATTCTTAAACTCTTATCATATTTATACTTTGCAGATGTTTTCTCCCAGTCTGCAAGTTGTCTTTTGATTACTTTATGACTTCTAAATCTTAACCATCTCAGTGAGGCCTTTTTGATCTCCTAATGTTGTTTCTATCTCCTGCTCCCTACACACACACACATTCCCTATTCCTGCTTTCTTGGCCCCTTTCTCTTGCTCTCAAATCTTTTCTTTCTTTTTCTCCAGGGACATTCATAATACATATATTGATTTTTGTGATATTGTCCCTTAGGCTGTCTTTTTTTTTCCCCATTCCTTAAATTGGTGATTTCAAATGCCTTGTCTTCAAGTCTACTGTTTCTTCATTGAGTCCATTTAAGTCTGTTGTTGAGTCCCTCTAATGAATTTATCAGTTCAATTATTGTATTTTTCAACTCCAGAATTTCAGTTTAATTCTTTTTTATAGTTTCTTTCTCTTTGCTGAAATTTTATTTTGTTCTTAAATCATTTTCCTGGTGTTATTTCATTGTATATGTGTTTTCTTATAATTCACTGAGTTTGGGCATCTTTATGACAAACTTTAAATTCTTCAGGTTTCTTTGGACTCAATTTTTGGAGTGTTGTTTTGTTCCTTTGAATGGGTCATGTTTCTGGCTTCTTTGTATGTCCTGTAATTTTTTGCTAGGAGGTGGACACTTTCATAAACAACTACCTCCCAGTCTTTGCATACTGGCTTTGTGAGAGGGAAGGCCATAACCAACCATCTTAGCTAGGTGCCCTCCAGGACCTCTCAAACTTTCTGATACATTGTTTCTGGCATCTTCCACACAGCACTCTAATATAGTGCTCACCTCTGTTTTAAATTCCTTTTAAATGTGGTGCTGGTCCTGTGAGTACTTTCAGTAAAGTGAGAGGATAACCAGTTTTCGGGGGCAGCCCCCAGACAAGAAAGAATATTGGACAACTGATTCATTCTTTTGTTTCTGTCCTGAGAGAAGAGCCACAGTATGAGGGATTTCTCCCTGGTTGCCCCACTATGCCATATAGAGGTGCATGAATGTAAGCACTGAATACTGCAAAACTTCTTATAGCTTTCCCTGGGATCTCTTCTTGGTTTTATAGTGATTCTTGGGTTTATAGTGATTTTTAGAGTTCTGTGGCTCTCAGCTAGTCTCTATAGAGTTCTCACAGAAGTGATCTGGTTCTATATATTGTTTATTTTGTCTTTGTGGGATAAGGACAGCTTGTAGCTTCCTAATCTACCATTTTGCTAATGTTACTATGGCTATTGTTGTTTTAAAAAATGTGTTCTCATAGGTATATCCCCTCTCCTTCCTCAATGTAACATTTTAGGGAATACCACCTTGAAACAAAGTAAAATGCAAGGAACAAGAACCTGTCTTCGGTGCTGCTTGCAGGGATACAAAAAAAATCAATCATTCACGTAATGGTTCAGCTTTTATTTTCTCTTAACTTGGCAAGGAAGTGAAACATTGCCTTGCCTTCCCTAAATCTTAAGGGCAAATCTAGTTCTATTGTGCCCCTTTAACTTCTAGGAGAACATATATTATTACTAGGGCATGCTGGTTAAACCTTTGGAGATTTAATAATATGTGCCAATTACCAACTTACTTTTCTAATATAACATAACATTCATAATATATCATTCCTACCGGATGAGGCTTTACAGGTCTATGTTTCTTCATTTTTGAAAGATTGACTACTTAAATGAATGTATAAAAGAAAATTAAGAACTGTGAAATTTGTTCTTTTGTGCTTAGTCTTCACGAAGAAGTATAAGATGCTGTTTCTTTACATAGCCTCATTGATTTTCCTGGAGTTAGCTGGAGATAACTTGGTTTCAAAATGTTGATTTTTCTGGAGATAGAAAAAAATGGAAACAGGGCTGGGGCTGGAGCTCAGTGGCGGGGTGCTTGCCTAGCATGTGTGAGGCACTGGGTTTCATCCTTAGCACCACGTAAAAATAAAATAAAAGCATGCTGTTCATCTACACCTACAAAAAAACATTTTAAAAAAAGAGAAAAAAAGGAAACATAGAAACTGAGATCTAGAATTAAGTACACTAATTATTGCCTTTTGCAACTTTTTTTTAGTTCACAGTAACCACTTTATGTCATGTTAGCCTAATAGAAGGATCAGGGCAAGGCTGCACATTCTTGAAATTCTGTCCCCATTAATTTTCACTTCCCCAGAGGAATATTGAATAAAATAATCACACTTCAATAATATTTAGCAACTAGCTAGAATTGTTTCCTCAGATTATAGAATCAACCGAAAGCAGGTTGAATTAAATAAGGTTGGGTTTACTTTAATGTTGCACTTTACAGCATCATCATACATACATATACGGTATTACTTATCAACCATATCACCCATAAAGGTTTGTCTAATGCAAGTGAGGTGAAATGAAGGAGAGTGTTTCAAGTCTTGGCTTTGAAAATGTTGTGTTAATTGTTAACTTTTGCTGAGTCTGTACATTAAAGAAGGTAACAATCTCAGCATGTTAAGATCATAACTGTTAGATTAGTGCTTGGAGGCAGTAGCTGTGCTGATGTGAGGCATTAATGGCTGAATGAGTTCAATCAGATATGCCACCTCCAGTATCTTTGTGTAATGATATTTACTAGATTTCAAATGGACTGCTGAGAACTATGAAATATAATCTTATGTATTATCTTTGTCTTAAAAAAATAGACAATGAAATTGTTCTCTTGCTGGCATATATTTTATTAACCTTTGTGGAGTCAACTTAAGGAACATATATTCTGATAGAGTTGAAACCTTTTGTTAAAGTGGAGTTTTATTAAGTGCATTTGTGAGTTCTAGGAATTGTGGGGTTGAGTAAAGTAGGTATGTTTAAAAAGGAAAACACTCAGAATAATATTACAGCATATTCTAAAGATAGCTAGATAGAAAAGGTGCAGTGTAAATTATGTGCAACTAAATTATTTTTTTCTTTGTTTTCCTTCATTACAGAGCCTGGAGAAAATTCTTGTGGAATTCGATCACAAGGAGTTGTTTGATTTCTATAACAAGGTCTGTGTTTTAAAAATAATTTTCTGATATATAAGGGTTTTCCTAATTTTTCCTTCATTTTTATGAATTATTTATTTTAAATGTCTATCACAGAGCTAACTTCTTTAAATTTTCCTTCTGAACATCTTATGTTTCACAGTAGGAAGCATAGGCAAGATGAAGAGAATCTGAAAAACTAAATCATGAAGAAAATGAAAATGGTTTTAATTAAAGCAATAGCATTGTTGCTTTAATGTAAAGCATTAAGCATTGCACAATGTGAGACCCCTAGACACTGACATTTTAATATAGACCATGTGAAATACTTTGTTTTCTTGGTCCAAGAGTAAAGGAAAACATGGAAAGGAAGATGCCAGGTCTGTGATTTATCTTTGAGTATATTTTATGTTTCTTTGAAAGAACTGATTTTGCAATCCAGGAAAATGCACTCCCCCTATATGCCCCAACTTAAAAATCTTATCATGTAGTGATATTTAAAATGAAACAGCTGGAGATATTTAAAACAGTAGTATTTACAAGTCCCCCCCCTTTTTTTTTTACAAATTTGAAAACTTAAATAGCAAGCATAAATTCTAATATGTTAACATAAAAAGAAAAATATTCTAAGTGCTATTTTTATTTCTATGTGAATGAGTTTGGTATACAAAGTTGCTGGTGCCATTCTTTCCCTTTTATTTGCATGTTTCTAAACAACACTTCATATGAATTTCTCTTCCTTCACCAACTTTCTATATTTTTTTCTTTTTTCTTTGTAAATAGCTAGAGACCATACAAGCACAGCTGGATTCTCTTACATGATGTTTGTGAAGACTGGTTTCTTCATCATACTCCCACCACCTCATTATTTTGCATTGAAGAAAGATTGCCTGGATGTATTTTTTGGAGGATTCAGTGACTTACTTTCTATAAATTATACAGCTTATCACTTCTTAGACAAATAACAGCCAAAGGAGATCACTGTTAGGAGTTCAGAGGTTCTAATATACTTTCTCTAGTTCTGTGAGCCAATAGCAGTTGTTAAAAAACACTTTTACTTCAGAGAAATCAAAAGTGAATACCATATTATTTTTACTGTCATATTGTTGCTTCACCTCTTTATTTTTTACATGCTCGATTATCTCTTTCTGTATCAAGAAGAGACCATAGATAGATAGTATAATGGGTACCCTAACAGAATGTAGATCTTTTTATTACGTTAATAAAATTAAGAAACAACCACATGCAAAGACATTATGTCATTTTTCCTATGATGAATGTATTTTGATTGAGAAATAATATCAGAAATAAATTTAAAATGGAGCTAGCAGTATTATGTGAGTTAATTCCAATGTGAGCTTCTCTGTCTGCTTCTGAGTTTAATGATTTAATAATAGTCCCAGGTTTGTGTGCTTTTCTTTGTACTGCAGATTAATAATGATTTATTTCATAGTGTGGGAGATAGATTTGGATAATGAATAAAAACAATTGTAATGAGTACTAAATGGGCATTCTTAAAATTTCAAATCAGATACATTTTGTATTCTCTTTCTATGACTATGTTATTTGGTTTCAATCAATAAAATTTTTATGTTTTGAGATTATTTGAACTGGAGTGTACAGTATTTTTATTTTATAGTATATTTGATGACACAAATGTGACTTTGATTGCCTGTCAAAAAATCAGTTGTATTTTTTATGAATGAAAATATCTATCTTGTATATTTTTCAAGGAGAGAAATAGGGAGAGAGAGGTTCAAATATGACTTTTTCACATGAGGAAATTTGGTTTCAGAAATGTCCTAAGGCTTAAAAAAATTACAATTAAAGCACATTTGTCATAGGTAGTATCTGAGTAATACCAGCATTAAAATGTCTTTCAAATAAATGTTCAGTATATGGAATTTATGCCCACATGCATTTATAAATGTTTTCCAATGTTGTTGCTTAACAAATTGAAAGTTTATTTCAGAAGCAAATATAATAATCATCATTCATAATTGATTGATTTTACAGGTTTATAAAACTCCAACTTTTATTTTTAATATATCAATAGGTGTATTTGTAATGGAATTGGGATTTTGTTTTGTTTTTGAGACAGGATTTCACTGTGTTGCCCAGCCTGGCTGTGGACTCCTGGATTTCCTGCTTCAGCCTCCCAAAGAGCTGGAACTACAGGCGTGTGCCACCACACACACAGCTTTCTCTTACTTTGGTGTGCTCTATTTTGATAGTTCCCAGATGTAATTACCTGAGGTCTCAGCAATACTGTAAATATTTTGGTAAATATTCTTTTAGACTTATTTTCTTGAACATATAAACATGCATAATCCCAAGATGAATATAGATAGATAGCAGTTTTATTAATGGCCAAATAAAATTCCCAGGGTAAGTGTCCAAGTTAAATGTTCAGTAATGAACATTTCTCAAAAGTAGCTCATTTTGTGTTCCCTTGAAAGAACTGGTTTTATACTCTGTAAGAATATGTCTAAATCTATACAAAAACATGGTCAGTAGTATTCTGTCCATTAGACAAGATCAACAAAGACACTGAAGAAAGAGCATGAAGGTCTAATTCCAATGAAGAACATAATTATTACTGAAATATATTTAATTGCAGATAACTTTATTCTCTACGGCATTTCCCTTGTTATACTCTGCAAGACAAAGAAAATGTGATGCTTTCAAAGTGCATGCTACTTTTTTTTTTAATTAAAAATAATGGGTCAGGGGATTAGTGAAGACTGGAATCTTCTATCTCAGAAAATAAACATGTGCTGCCTAACTATATTTTGGTAAGTGACAGACCATGTGTATGATCGTTTATGTTGTATAGTCTAAGGGTATAGTAGACCATAATATCTAGGTTTGTGTAATCACACTCTATGATGTTTGCCCAATGATAAAGTCACTTAATAATGCATTTCTCAGAACATACCCCTTCATTAAGACACACATGATTGTGTCTATGGGTATTTGTTAGAAGAACCAATGTACGATTTTTTATACCTACTACAAATATTTGCAGTTCCCTGATTGTAAAGTACTATATGGTTATTTTAAATTAGTAAATACAAAAAAATCATGAGGGCTTGGGCTGTAGCTTAGTGGCAAAGTGCTTGCCTAGCATGTGTGGGGCCCTGGGTTCTATCCTCAGCACCACATAAAAATAAAAGCAAACAAAATAAAGGCATTCTGTCCATTTGCAACTACAAATTTTTTTAAAAAATCATGAATAACTAATCTAAATTATAGAGTCCCATCATTCAGAAATGGACATTAAGGGCAGTGTAGTAGATTTTTTGCATTTTTTTCCTATTTATAAATCTTTCTCATTCATTTTTCTTCCTTTTCTAACAAGTTGAGGCTATATTATAAATATAACTTCATACTTTCTGTATAACATTACAACAATATAATTTTTCCTATCCTCAAATATTTTTCAGAACATCACTGATATATATTCAATACCTAGCTCATCATTAGAATGAGCGTATTTTAGTTATTCCCCTATTGTTGGACATTGACCATATTTTACTGCATAATCATCATCACTATGTAATCATCACCGTCACCTCAGTGTATATTCACAAGTATTCCATGCATCTTAATCTTGTACCAAGGATAGTTTAGAAATAAATTTTTTAAGTAATACTGCATAAACTTCTTTCTTAAAAAAAAAAATAGCTTCACATAATGATTATATCCCACTTTTTTGCAAAAATATTTGGTATAAAATCTACAATGATTATGCAGTAAAATACAGTAAATTATTTCCAATTTTGAACATAATAAAGAATTCACTGATAAATATCATTATACAGAACCTTAAACTATTTCTCTCATTATTTTATTAGTATAGATTCCTAGAAGTGGGAACACTATGTCAAAAGTATAAAGATGTGTTGGGCACAGTGGTGCACATCTGTGATCCCAGGGACTTGTAGTCTGAGACAGGAGGATCTCAAGTTTGAGGGCAGCCTCAGCTATTCAGTGAGACTCTCAATTACTTAGTGGGGCTGTACTTAAAATAAAAAATAAAAAGAACTGGGGTTGTATCTCAGGGGTAAAGCACCCCTAGGTTAGATTCCCAGTACAAAAAAAAAGTATAAAGATTTATTTTCTATTTTTATCTTTAAGGGTATTTTATTATAAAATAATAGTTGCTCGTTGTTTAAAAAAAAAAAAGAAAAAGAAAATTGTTGTATTTTGCCATCTCGACTCCTTAGAAATACTTACCTAATTGTTGCAAACATTTGGTTTATAGTTTATCAGATATCTACTTAAGATGTCTGAAAATACAAATAGAAATAGTTTTTAAACATATTTATGTTTATTTCAAGGCCTTCAATGTATATTTGCTAAATTGTTACCCTGAAGAGTTATATCAATTTGTACTCCCAACATTAAATAATAACTCACATCAAACTACCTTCATCAGCTCCTTCCTCCTGTTGTACATTTGACCCTCAATGTTCTTCCTAACAGGGTTATGGTTTGGGAAGAGTGGATTAAAGATGGGAACAGTGCTTTTTAATTGAGACAAATCAGGTTGATAACTCCAGAAGGACTGAACAAGAAATCTATTTAAAAATCAGCAAATATGAGATACAATTGTATAGTATTTAGGTGTATGAGCTTTAAAGTCAGAAATTAATATTGTCAATAAATAAACAATGAATGCAATGGTGCCAAAAACCATGTATGCTAACCTCCATGTTGACAGTGAAAATAAACGTAGTTTCTGATCTCTTGAACTATAAGTGTTGGTTAGTAAAAATAAGTAAATACATATGCAATAAATCCACAGTGTAAGGCAAAGTATGACTGAATCCTTTTAACAGAAAATGAAACATGGAATCAAACTTAGATTGGGACATCAAGAAAAGATTCTCTGATGAGTGAGATTTGAGCTGAATCCTATAGAATGAATTATAATGAAACATAGAATTCTTCTATAGAAGAATAGAATGAAAAGTCATTCTGGACAGAGAGGATGGCCCGTGCAATATCCCAGAGATTAGAAAAGTGTATTTCAGGAACCAAAAGAAGATCAGTGTGGCTAGAGTGAGGTGAACAAGAGTAGTGAAAGTGCTACAATTGGAGAGTTGGACAAGGAGTTATCCTCTAAGTCTTGTCATTTGTACCACCAAATGTATTGCAAATAAATGTCTTCAGATCACTATCCCATCCAAGCAACAATCATCTTTTCCCTGAACTAACCTGCATACATTCTAGCCCTCCTCTACTCTGGTCTTCCAAATGTTTTTTTTAAACATTAAACCTATTATACCATTCCCATGTTTAAAACCCTTCAAAGGATCCCATTATACATCAAATAAAATTTAATGATCTGGCCCCTCAGGACACTGCAAGAGTTACATTCTAGTTCTACTACTTGTTGCATATATGTTGAGCAAGTTACTTAATTTGCTAAAACTCACTTTCTTTAGCTTTATAATAGGAATAATAATCTAAATAACAGGAGTTATTGGAGGATTAAATAAAAGTTCATGTTAAAAATTTAGTATAATCTCTGATTCCCAATAATTGTGTAATAAGTGTTAATGACATTTTTTTAATTACTTAAAACACACACACACACACACACACACACACACACAGGCTTTCTGCTGAAATGATTCCAGGTAAAGTTTGAATTAAAGTCAAACTTGCAGAAACCTTGTTATGAAGCTCCTTCACTATGAATTTATTTGGAGTTCTGATCACAACTTCATTGTATAATCATTTGATTTGAAATAAGATAATAAGTATATTAAGAGAACCAGAATCAAAACATGCTTTTTCTGAGTTCCTTTTCATATGGCCCTTTCTGGCTTTAAGAATTTTTTTTTCTCTGCCAGGTGTGATGGTACACACCTGTAATCCCAGTGGCTCAGGAGACTGAAACAGGAGGATCACAAATTCAAGCCTACCCTCAGCAACTTAGTGAGGCCCTAAGAAACTAAGGGTCTCTGTTGCAAATTTTAAAAGGGGCTGAGGATGGGACTCAGTGCTTAAGTGCCCCTGTGTTCAATCCCCAGTAACCCCCACCCCCAACAAAAGAAATCTTTTTTTCTATGCAATGAATTTTTATCTCTTCTTTCTTCTCCATCTCTCCCTCTCCTTCTCCCCCTCACTCTCTCTCCCTCTCCCTGTCCTTTCTGAGCCCACCATGAGCTGAGCAACTTTCTTCTGATAGGCCATTTGCCCCTGGTATGCTGTACCACCTTGATCTAGAAAATGCAATCAGCCATCTGTGGACTGAGACTTCTGGAACTGTGATCTCTCCTCTAAGTTGTTCTTGTCTGGTGTTTCGGTTACAACAATGAAAAAGCTAACTAAAACACTTGGTAAATACAATTTTATTAGAAAACAGCTGTCTTTCTACTGGACTCATTCCAGGGACTTTCTCCCTTTTTGACTTTGAAGAAAGAACTTGCCATGTTGCAAAGAGAAGCTATGGACAAGACCTCAGGGTGAGGTACTTTAACAGCTGAAGGAGAACAATAGCCTGCAAGAGGTTGAGGCTCTCAGTCCTACAGTCACAAGGAAATAATTCTGCAAACAGCCCAAATGAATGTGGAAGTAGATTCTTACTTAAGCTTTC